TTCATCATTATTGTTACATTTTGATAACTATCACTATCCTTATCATTACTATCAACTTGATCTCAAATACCAAAATTATCGTCACCGCCACCATTTTCTTTACCACGACTCGGTTTTATTTAATCATTAATTTTCACCCGATCCCAGAGTACATATCCTTCGTGGGTCTTCCTGATGCTGACTTACCCTACGGAACGCCGGTCACTGCGACAGGATGGGGATTCACGTCCGATGGTGAGGCTTTTAAAGGGCGAAGTGAGCAGAGAGAGGGAGGGAGAGGGAGAGAAAGAGAAAGGGGGAGAAAGTGGCAGAGAGAGGGAGAGAGCGATGGAGAAAGTGGCAGAGAGAGGGAGAGAGCGAGGGAGAAAGGGTGAGACAGGGGCAGAGAGAGGGAGGAAGAGAAAGAGAAAGGGGGAGAAAGGGGCAGAGAGAAGGAGGGAGAGAGTGAGGGAGAAAGAGGGAGAGAGGGAGCAGAGAGAGGGAGGAAGAGAAAGGGGGAGAAAGGGGCAGAGAGAGGGAGGGAGTGAGGGAGAAAGAGGCTGGGAGGAAAAGGAGAGAGAGAGAGAGGGAGAGGGAGGAAGAGAGAGAGAGGGGGGAGGGAGGAAGAGAGAGATGGGGAGAGGGAGGAAGAGAGAGAGAGAGGGAGGGAGGAAGAGGGAGAGAGGCTGGGGGAAAAAAGGGAGGAGAGAGAGAGGGGGAGGGAGGAAAAGAGAGAGAGGGAGGAGGGAGGAAGAGAGAGAGGGGGGGAGGGAGGAAGAGAGAGAGAGGGGGGGAGGAGATGGAAGGGAGCAAGAAAGATACAGAGAGGGGGGGAGAGGAAAAATTGGGAAGAATGGAGGGGTCTGAAGGAGGGAAGGTGAAAGAGAAGAAGGGAAGGAAGGGAAATGAGGAAGATAGAGAGAAGGAGAAAAAAAAGGAGTGATGGTGGGGAGAAGAGAAGAAGGTAAGAAGGTGGGAAGGATGGAGAAGAAAAAAATAAGATAAAGAAGGAGGTGTGAGCGAAGAGAAGGAAGAAAGGAGACAAGGTAGGCGAAGAGAAAAGAGGGAAAGGGAAGGGGAGAAAGAGGCAGGATGGAAAGGGTAAGAGAAAAGGGGAGAGAAAAAAAAACTGTAAAAAGGGAGAAAGAGGGAGGGAAGAAATACAAGAAAGATAGAAAAGAGGGAGGGAAAATAATATAAAAAGAAAGAGAGAAAGAGTGAGGGAGTACGAGTGGACAGATGGGATGAAGGAAGGAGAGAAAAAGTGTAAGACAGTAAAGGAGGGAAAGGGAATTGATAAAATAGAGATTAAAGAAAATATAACTTATTTATACTAAACTGTGTATCTTTGCTATCATCGCCTGTTCGTCTCTCTTTTATATATAATGTTTATGTTGTTTTATATTCATATCCTCTTAACCCATTCGCGGCGGGTAAAAATGAACAAAAAATGGGGCAAATGCTGTGCTCATTTTTTATACTTTTTGTGACACCCGGCGCGAATGGGCTAGAGATCCATCCAGTTTCGAGTAATATACCCCAATTTTTTATCTACAAAATGAATGCAAAAAATTGTATAATTACTTTGAAAAAAAATACCTAAAATTGACTGCATTTTCATCCCCAGGTTCAACAGGCATTTCGGACGTGTTGAACCAAGTCACGATGAACGTAATCGAACGTGATGTGTGCGACGCCATCTATGGAGAACAAGGAGAAGGAGTGCTGTGCGTAGATGCCAGCGGAGGAGGAATTTGCGATGTGAGATAGAAGGGACATTAGTTTGTGATTAATATTTGTCGTGTCTGTTTAGTTGTCTCTGTCTGTTTTAGGGATTGTAATAGTTACGATAGTTCTACTTTTGATATTTTTTGTTGATTTATTATCATCTTAATTCTAAGGGGAGGTTTATTTTTTACCTTTTTCATTATTTCCTTGTAACATTAATAGGTATATTAGTAATTATCATCATCGTCATCATCATCATCTTCATCACCATTACCTTCATCATCATCATCAATCATCATCATCTTTATCATCATCATGATTATCATATACACTATGACATTATCATCATCATCATCATCATCCTCATTACCACCGCCTTCTCCCCCATCATCATCCCCACCGTTTCTCTCCTCTGATCTGCCTTACGCCTCTCGTGTCCTCCCAGGGCGACTCCGGCGGGCCGTTGGTTCACGAAAACCGCCTTTACGGCATCACGTCCTACGCCTCCGCCCTTGGATGCTCGTCTGGCTGGCCCGAAGGATTCACTCGCGTTCTGCACTACTTGGCTTGGATCGAGGAACAGACGGGTCTTGCGCCAGGAAATTTCGTTTGAGAAGTTGATGTTTTCCCGACTTTTTTCTTTCTTTCTTTCTTTCTTTTTTTTTTTTTTTTTTGGAAGGAAGGGGGTGTTTAAGGGTGATTTAGGAGATCATAAGAATTTTCTGTTCATTTGTTTATTAATTAATATTAATCTCCTGCCTTAAACTACTTGGCTTGGAACATACGGGTCTTG